AGGGCTGGGGACACATAAATACATACATATAGCTTCAAAACCAGGTCTCTCGCTACGCTAGGAGAGTGGGAAAGGGTTGGGTGTACCACACCCTCGGATTGCTCGTGGGGGGGGGGGTTGTTAGAATAGGTCACAGAAGCTTTTTAAAAATCCAATACTAACAAATAGATCAAACGATTATTATTCAAGTCCTCTTTTTTTCCTCCTCTCAATGTTAAAATGTCATTACATTTACTTGCTCATATTCTCAATGGTTGTCTAATACAAATGAGATCATTGACATACCACCCGAAAAAAGGGACACGGGAAACCCGAAAAAAGGACACGAGACACCCCCACTCCCCCTCAACCAAAAACAAAAAACAAAAACAAAAACAAACTCATTTACATAAAAGGGGGCCCACATGAATGCAGCCACCATGCCTGCAAATATATCAGGGTGACCAGGCGTGAGCAGAAAAAGCAGAACAGACCACAAGTTTACAAACTAGATTAGATCTAAGTGTCAAGAGTGCATGAATAACGCGGTACGTTTATAAACATAAGCACGTGAGAAAAGTTGTGTCTGCGCTGGCGTGGGTAATGCGAAGAACTAAATATGATTTAAAGAAAGAGTGACGAGATCAACTGTTGTTTGGGGAAAATTTGCATTTGTGGGAAAGAGAACTATAATTATGACCGCCAATTTCTGTTCCATAAAAGACACTATGGTAGTGAAGATCACCTCATTGCACCAGGCAGAAGATAAACGATAACGGTAACGCTGAAAACATACAAACACACGCACATGCACGTGTACACACACAAACACACACAAACAAAAACCAACAACAAAAAAACCATCATACACATGAAAACAGAGTAAATCACACAAAAGCACCGATCACCCATCATTCATCGGTTGTCCATCGAAAATCGATGATGACTAAAGCAGTGTGCATGATACAGCTTTGTCTGGACTGTAGACATAGAGGAAGTAAATTGCCCCAGAATCACCCCCCTCCCTTCAGATCCTGACTTCCTTGATAAACTCCAGAGGAAGAGACATAATCAGTAAGTTTTGAATCAAGGAAGATGTTAAGCGGTATGTCCTACTATTCACACGTGTATCCACACAATACGTCACACGAATAGTTTCTCCAAATTTATCAAAATGTGCGTATAGTGTTATGGGTTGAACGCCACTGTCAACACTATTATAAAGGTTATTTAAGAGACGGGTTCTCCAAATTTAACGTACGTCTCCGATAGGACCGAGCTAAATGGGTTGAGAGCCTTGAAAATTCCACAAAATAACCCAAATGCTCAATCAGGGATTCGAACCAGGGCCATCTGCTCCCTTGTCCAGCATGATACCAACTGAGCTAAAGGAGCAGCTTTATCGGAATGTAATGGTATTTTAGTATTCTATTCCCTCCCTGACTTGAAAGTGGTAACGTAAGGAACATCACAAAGCAAACTATACAAAAAGTAATTAATGTCCTAACGCAACAACCTAATCCATGTTGTTATCTACAGGTCAAGATATTATAATCTAATACATGTAATTCCCGAGATACCGGGAATATTAACACTTGAAGTGGACAGATGAGTAATAAAGGGGAAAAAATAAAGGGTTCAATAAGCAGGCGAGGAACACGTACAGAAAAGAAATTAAAATTCATTCGATTTCTCACAGGTATTCAAGGCAAGTTAAAGACTATTTACTCGAGCCCAACAAAAGTCGGCCCAGTGGCACTGCGGGCACGCGAGGAAACTCGGAGTCCCTAGCAGCTCTTACAAAGCAGTTTAAAATCGCATCTTTTTGCTGAGGCATATTTTAAAGTTTTCTCACGGTCTTGATCAATGTAATGTTAGTAAAACTGTGTATAGAGAATGGGGGTGGGAGGAGAGGAAGAGACAATGACAGAGGGGGGAGAGAGGGAGTGAGAGAGAGAGAGAGAGAAAGAGAGAGAGAGAAAGAGAGAGAGAGAGAGAGGGGAAGGGGAGAACTTTTCGACTGGAAATGCACTTTTTAAACCTGATTTACTATTCTATCATAATGTTTGCAGCCAAAAA